CCAGTGATATCCAACATCAACAAATTTTCCTAGAGCATAGAAGCAGTCACTAACTAGACTTACAAGAAAAACTATAAAGCAATTTTTACTGATGACTGAAAGAATCGTGATGGCTGAAAGAATCGTGATCATCTTGGGGCAGCTTTTGTTTGTAATGAACTTCATAAGGTTGCATCTGTCTGTATTGCAGAAACTTTTGCCATTTTGAATTCCTTAATCTTTATCTCTAAGCTGAATAGAAGAAAGTTCATCATCTATTCTTGACTCTCTGAGTGTTATTGAATAAATAAATAAATACTAGCCACCCTTTGGTCTTGGAAATTTTAAAGTCACACCTCCGTCTGAGAAATGCAGGGAATTCTATTGTGTACTGCTGGGTGCATGGACATGCTGGCATTAAAGGCAATGAACTTGCTGATATCGCAGCAAAATCTGCTGATATTACCTCTGAAAATGATGTCCCTTTTACAGACATACGGAATTACATCAAAACAAAGATTTTGTCCAGGTGGTGGCAAGAACTCTGGGGATGCCAGACTCTGAACAAATTAAGGCAGATAAAATCAAATTTGGAGTATTGGGAGTCGAGAGGGAATCAAAAGGAGGATGTACTGCTGACTCGTCTATGAATTGGTCACTGCAGACTGACATATTATCTCTTGAAAGGAGATAATGAGACTATTTGTGGCACTTGCAATGTTCCCATTTCAATCAATCACATTTTAACCTGCTGCCCTGCTTTAGTCAGAAATGTGAATATCATTTTAACTCTATACAAATGTTAACAAATAGATCTCATTGGAAGAACCTTTGCATCAACCTCATAAGATTTTTAAAAGACATCTCTTTTTACCATATGATTTGAAGTTTTTTTTTCTTTTATCCTGCTGTACCTGTTGTTAGAGCATTTCTCAGTCATTTCTCCATGCCTTCATCAGCATTACAGGTTCAATTCAACAATTCATCTGATACAGCATGTTTGAGCATTTTGGATTTTATTCACCATTTGTCTGGTGCATAATAACCTTCAAAGTTTTGTGCTATTAAAAGTCAACCAACCAACCATCGTGCAAAAATCAAAAGTCTTTCGTCCATCATCCAACTGATACAAAAACCTCAAGTTCATAATTTCATCATAATCCAACCCATCAACTTTCATCCTATTAGTCACCTTAGACATGCTCAAATGATGGTACCCACAGCAAAATAACAGCAAGCTTGAAATACAAGACCATACCACACATATGCAACCAAACAACAATTAAAAAGAATGCTAAGAACCAAAAAGGGTCCTTACCATTCTTTTTAACTGTCGTGTTTTTCTTTTTAACTGTTCCATACGAAAAGGTTCCAGTTACAAAAAGTAGCCAAAATCTAAATTTATCACAACACGAGTGGCAATATTCTAAAAAACACCTTTTTAATGACAAAAACTTAACTGAAATTTTCTCCAAAGGCTAGTTTCGGCAACATTAGGGTTACTGTAAAACCTATTTCACGCAGCGGGCTTTTAGATTTAATGAACAACCAATAGCACTTGCCAACTCTTTTCAGACAGAAACCAAGGAGTACTGTATAGTAACCAGGATTTTTATTTTCAGTATGGATTATTATATATATTGGTTGTTGCTGCTCTCATCATCATGATCATAATTTTGTTGGCTCTAAGACTTTTTTTGGTGAAATATAAAACATCTCATTTTGATAGTCTTTCTTATCTCTTTTTATGTGTTATTTATTTATTATTTTAATTTTTGTCTATGAAAGGTGTACCCCTAACAACAATCCTCCCTTTGCCCTTTTTTTTCTGAATCAGTTTCAGCTGCTACTTTTTCTTCATGAAAAGTATTTAAAAAAGTTAGTATAGCTTCTAGAATTAAAAAAAAAAAAAAGAAGTGAGTATTTAAAAAAAATTGAAACTTGAATTGAACTTGAATTGAAACCGTGCAGAATTTGTCTGAGATGGATCCAGAAGCTATAATGAGGGTTACCAAAATATTTGTTGTCTAAAAAATTCTTAGAAATGTGAGCTGGGATAAGTAGTAAGTATATAAATTTCCTATCTTGGCAAATTAGATATTGCTACTTCACTTGCAGGAAATATTTTATTTATTAAAAGCATTATGCATAAGATAATTATCTAATGCTCAGCACATTCTGTTCGATATTGGCCAGAAGTGGTGGCCATTTTATTGTTGGAGGCACTTAACAGGTGGCCACGGTTACCTCCTATGAAGGGACAGACAATTACAACCGTGCCCTTTGGTATCGCGGTCAGCTCCTTTAACCACTATACTGTCTGGCCGCGACACACATAAGTGATCTGAGTAAAAAAAAAAAATGTGCAACTGTCTTGAATAATTAAGTCTTGCAATGTTATGGTATTTGATCTATCACTTTTATGAATATCTATAACTTGAAGAGTTGCTTGAAAAATGTTGTAAAATAATTTTACGACAAACTTTTTATTTTAATCTTTTTATAAGCTTTTTATAAGCTCTCTTTTTTAAACATTAGCCATTTTTGTATAATATTATAAGTTTTAAATGAATCTAAGCCCATCTTTTGGATCATCTTACAAGTTAAACACAAAAAATGAATAATTATTCAAGGTAGTCTACTTTAAAAAACATCATTTTCAATTTATCCATTGCGAATTAAAAGAATACCCCAAATAATGATTATAAGAGATATTAAGGTAACAAGAATAAGCATAATTTTTATAAATTTGAAATTTAGGATTATTATGCTGATTTTTGTTGCTTTGATATGTCCAATTATATGTTTATCATTCAGAAATTATTTTAGAAAAATGGAGCAGCACAAAAGTTCAAATTGCCTTCCAACTATCTTCCTGACTGAAAGTGATAGATCACATGCTACGTCATTAAGTCTATTGAATAAGTGTAAAGACCTGCATATAGCATTCATTTATGATAGAATAATATTATGTGAAGCCTTTTTTTTTCTGTTCTAACAAATAATGATGTCCATATAATAAATCTTTCTGAATTGCATCATTTTAAAATTATTTATATTAATTTCTACGTATTTCTAATGATTCACATCCTTACACAACATCAAAAAAGCTGATGTGTACACCAAATGACTTCCTTGTACGGAATTTTAAATTATGTACGCATTTTTTCCTGCATTTCATTTAAACTTATTTTCTCGAATTTCATTAGAGGTATATTTCTCACTTTGTGGTAAGGTAAAAATACACAAAAGCTGAAAATATTTTAATTAAAAATTGAAAGATATAGAAAAACATAAAACACCAAATGCAATTAAAACAATTACAAAAATTGTATTTACAAGTAAAATTAGTCTCACTCGGCAAAAAGACTCTGAAGGTGCAAAAAGAATTAATTCGCTCTTTTGCCAAGTTTCAAATATAAACAAATATGGCTGTTATAGTTTTTTTTTTTTTTTTAATTAGGCTTAGTTGCACTTAAACATCTTTGAAGTCCAGATTAACTAAAGGCATAAAAACCTTAACCAGAAAACAAGAACAACATAATTCATTTTTGAAGCAAAAAATTCACAATTTACTAACATATAAGAATAAAAAACTGAGCTCATTGAGCCAAGTAACAGAGTGTGTTATATATAAATATATACATATATGTTTATATACTTTTGGTGTGGTCGATTGCAACCAAAAAGGAAGGTGCACAACTACATGTTACTGTAGTCCTAATATACAAAATTTCAACATTTGGAGGCTGCTCATTTTTGAGTTCTTTGAGATGCTACATACGTACAATTGCCATGAAAAAAATCTCTTCTGAACCAATTTTTAATCAGTTTTATAATTTGTTTGGGGAAAAAGAGCCTTTTATTCTATCTTTACATACAGGTCGTGCAAAAACATCATTTAATTGCATTCGAAAGTGGTCAGAATGGATATTTTCATTGAAATATCGTACCTGGAATTTTTCGTGATTACGATAATTCCTTTACTTTTAAGAAAGGAAAAAAAAAACCAAAAAATTTTATCTGAATATAATTAAATTGGAACTTTTAATACTTAATTGTGGCAGATTGATTATATGTTCATGCAGTAATTTCACCGTTCATAATTTAATGAGCATAATTGTCACTTTTCTCAAGCTGCCAATAAGTTGTTAGTTACTTAATAGTTACTTGTAATAGCTGCTCAATATGTTGTTAGTAACTTCTAAGCATCACCTGGCATAATTTTATGAATATGCAAATGTATGCTTTTAATTATGGAATATTTGGCATTTGCCTTATACCAAATTGGCTGTATATGTTTTTGGAAATATGTGAAGAATAAAGAAATGTATAAACCAGTCATAACCACATTTTCCTAGTAACCATCAAACTATTATTGATGACAGATTTAAATTTTCTTGTAAGCCATACCATTTTTTATTACTATTTTTTATTATTTGTTGTGTATTTTTCCTTGTAGCTTTTTAATACCAAAAGTTCTGAAAAATTAAAAATACTCACATAATTTTTATTTTTCTTAATGCGTCCAGAGAATAAATATGCTCCTCTAAATTTTTAAATGGATTATCCGCGTAATCATGGCAAGCAAAAGTAGTTCCAGTACCATGTATTGGCAAAATTTGGAACCTAGTAGTCCATTGTCAAAAACTGCGAGGGATACAAAGAAATAAGTCAGTTACAAAACTGTGCTGATGCAAAGGATACAAAAAATAATAAAAATATAGAACATCAATTTATTATGCATGCAGGTGCAATCAATAATTGCTGATACCACCTAAAATATCTGAAATCATGTTTTGTTGAAACATCTGAAGAAAGAAAGACTGATGGGAGTACAAAAATATAATTTAATGGATAAACAGTATGTACAATGTTAATAGCTTGATGACGGTATATGAAACGGTATGTATTGTGTCAGTATCTATTTTTTGACTCTATTACATGTTTATAAATTATTTGCACGGCTATTTATTTTTATAGGTGATGTAAAAGTGAAAATTTAATTGAAATATTTTTAGGTTTAACTGCGGGTGACAGTACTACTCTTGCACCTACTACTACTGATACTACTCAAGAAATTGTTACCACAGTGCCAACAGCTAAAACGAAAGACACCACTACACCAGAGCCAATAACCAAACTACCAATTACTACTACTACTACTACTACTGAACTGCCAACTACTACTACTACTGTTGCTCCTACTACAACTTCTCCTCCTACCACTACAACTACGGAAGCTCCACATACTACAACTGCTGAGCCTACTACAACTACTGATGTGCCTATTACAACTTCTAATGTTCCAAGCACAACAAAGTCTCCTGAACCATCTGCGCAAGAAGGCTCTTGGAATGTGACCGAGGGCAATACGACTTGCATCAGAGCAGATTTGAAAATTCGTTTTAAAATTCCTCTAGCTGTAAGAATTTTTTTCTTGCATATATTTATTTCTGATTGCATATAATAATGAAAATTTTTAAATTCAAGATTTTAATACATATTTTTAACCTTTTCAATCCACGTAGGAGAAATAATCCAAGTAGCTTGCCATTGAAGCAAGATATTTTATATTCAAAGAAATTAGTAATCTAGAATTTTTTTTTTTTATGGCGGGCAGTAGCCATTTTAGCATTCACCACTACTAAGCCACTACTAATGACCAGAAGTGGTGGTCATTTTATTACAGAGGCACCTCATCAGTGGGTACCGTTACCCAGGGTTTGTACAGTTCTCAAGAGTCCTTAAAAGTCCTTAGGTTTTTTTATAATCTAATTTTGGTACTTAAAAGTCCTTAATTTCGGCCAAAATCGGCAGAAGGTCCTTAATTTTAATCATCTGAAATTTTTGCTCGTATTTACATCTGCCATTTTGAGCATAAATTAGCATTTTTGAGGAATATTTTTGGCGATTCACTGATAAATATGGTTATATTTTATAAGGGTGAATGAGTTGAAATTTGTTCGTTTCTAATGTAAACATTGGGATACTCAAGATTCTGGGGAAAACATGAAACATATGCATTTTGAATTTATTTCATTTTTTTTCTAATGAAGAATTCTTAAACAATTTTTTACTTTTGGTGATGTGAATTCTTTTTTTAAGTGGTTCTAAATTTGGCGATTTTATGATCAGTTTCTATGGAAAGAAATTTTTCTGGTGATTTCGGAATTTTCCGACGATTTTGTTTAAAAATTTAACATTGAAAATCATTAAAATAATAACATATTGAAATTATACTCGTATTTAAGAAATAACATTAAAATGAAACATTTATATTTTTTGCTGCAGTATTTTGAATCTGAAAAATAAGGTAATAAAGCACAATTTATGAAATAATTCTTAGCGAAAGCAAAATAGTTATGTAATTAATTTAAAATGTCTTCTTTTTAATTTTTTTCATGGTTAGAGTTTTTCCCATGGAGTTGTCTCAGAATGTTCTTCCTCTTTTTTTTATTCCTTCAAAACATTTCTGGCATTTTGCTGTTACAGGATTGGTAGGGATAACTTTTCTTTAGGATCATCATACTCAGAGCTGCCATTAGGCATTTTCCCACCTTTTGCAATCTCTGTGGATACTAAGTTCTGCTACTTAGTGCCTTTCTATATTCTGCTCCCAGTGCCTCTCCTAAATTCTAAAAGTTTTGCTATTTCTAGATTTTTTGCTCAGTGGGTCACTAAATTTTAAAAATTCGGCCACATTGGCTCTGTAAGTGGGCCTTACCATGTATCATTTCATATTTATTCTGAATGTTTATATTGCTAAAGAAATAAAATTAGCAGCTTTTTCTGTGCATTTAGTTTTTAGAATAACATAAATCTCTAATTTAAATCCAAAAATTCTAAAATGAAGAGGAAATGTATTGAAGAAAAGAAACTGAATACATAAAGAAAATTATTCTTCAAAGATTTGTATAGTTATTATAATGTAAATCAACCAGTTGTTTATAATTTCTGTCTTTCAGGAGATTACAATTGGACAGTTGTATATCTCCTGTTCTACCGATTGATGAAATTCAAATTGTGGTCTTCATGTCTCGAAAGCATGACATAGGATATGTATTAGATTCATATAAAGCATTGTTCTAATATAGGTATTTAGACATAGATTCTTTTCTGAATTTCTTTTTTTCCATATTTCGTTACTACGGCTCAAATTATACCTAAATATTAAACTTTGTAAAATAATTAGTGCGAAATTTACAGAGAAATAAAAAATTTAACTTTGAGTTTTTTTTTTTTTTTTTTTCCCCCAGTTTGCGCCAAGAATGATTCACTTTGTGAACTTCGTAATTTATAGCAACCTATTTTCCTTTCCTTTTTTTCATTGCAGACAGGTGGGGTAAAAAGTCATCATTCGTACTTTTAAATAATTTTAACAAAGTGCGTAAACCACATTTTTCATTATTATCACTTGTAACTAAATATTCCAAATTTCTAATGTAAATTCATGTATGTATCTTAGGAAATTTTGAATGAAAAAATTTTTTTGCAGGTGTGCCTAGAAAAATTACATAATCTTTTAAGATGTTAAAAATTTTGTGTTATAACTAATTTTTTTTAATTCTAAAAATTATTTAAAAATACAAATTTAAAAAAATAAATCAAAAAATGGGCGAATTTTATTTGGAATGAACCTAAATTTCAAAATGTGAAAGGAACAATCAAATAAGTTTAGTAAAAAAGAGATATTAATAAATATATATTAAATTCAATTAACAATGAAGAGCTAAAATTTTGAGAGCTAATTTTTTAAAAACTGCTCATGCGACTTTTACAAAACTTGGCAGTTTTGCATAGTTTGAGTCGTAAAATTGAAACATGGAAAGAAAGTGGCATGTCATTTCAGAAAAAGTCGGATTTTGTGTCAAAATACCTATATTAGAACAATGCTATATGTAAATCTAATACATATCCTAAGTCACGCTTTGGTGACAAAACACACAAGTTGAATTTTGTCAATCGGCCCAGTAGAACTTCCCCCCCCCCTGCAGTGTATATTGTCGAGAAAATGGCAAATTTGGAACTACAGCATGCAGAAACTAGTGAGAACATTGGTTTGCATATTGAAACCAAATTCTGATTGTTAGGAAATATGCTTAAAGAGAAGAAAATTGATAAAAATTAGCTAAAATATCTGGGAAGGCTTCAAATTAAAAAGAAAAAGCCACATGAATATTTTGTGTGTTGTTTGTTGTTACAAAACAAATATTTTGTGGATTTTAATGTAAGAAAATTGATAAAAATTAGCTAAAATATCTGGGAAGGCTTCAAATTAAAAAGACTAATGAATATTTTGTGTGTTGTTTGTTGTTACAAAACAAATATTTTGTGGATTTTAATGTGTAATTATCCTAATATTGTTTAAGAATCAGTGTCATAAATTATTTGTATTTTAAACTCTGAAATGTTATTAAATTATGATTTTAATGGTGCTTTTTTAACAAACATTTAAAAATTTAAATTTTATAGTGGCCATGTAAATTTATAATGAAGAGTATCTACCTAAATTTAATTATTTGTATCTGACTGCTCAGCCTTAAAATTATCTCTGCATATTAAAGTGAGTTTTATTGCCTTTCATTAATCCTTACCGTGATTAGAAGATACAACACAAAAATGAAAAAATTATCTAAAACTTATTCTTTGTATCTAGCGAGACTTTAAAATAATACAAAACAACTTATCACCTCCGATGCTTTCATGGCTTATTGGTACCTTAAACTGTCTTAACTGGATTACAACCCCAGAAGATTTACATGAAGCTACAGCACTATCTGCGTCAGACAGACAGAGCACAACTAACTTTAAAACTGCAAACTGTACATACATCAGGCTTTCAGGTTTGTTCTGATCAGCAGGTCTCTCTAGTGAAGCAGCAGTGGTGGCAACAGCTAGTCTTCCGTTACGAATAATGCTGATTATGCTTTTACTTCTCATTTTAGCCTGTGCCATTTGACATAAAATCTATTTGCTATTTACTAAACCTGTAGACTGAGAAGTATGTGACAAAATGAGACAAAGAAAAAAATCAGTATAAAGCTGTTAGTGAAACATAAATAAAATGTCACTAATCTTCTTTCAACTATGTTCAACTATTCTAAGTGTAAAATATTCAATGCTAGTTGATAAATTTTATTTAAAGTTCATTTTAGTCTCAAATTTGTTTTATAATTATGTTTAATAAAAATACATTGTACTTACGGATCTAATTTTATTCTTAGGATGGCATTACAAAAGTGAAGTTCAGGCATAAATAATATCTTTAACTGTAATAATAATACTCTTAATGAAAACCTGGACTGTGAAATATATTAAAGGTATATCAGGATAATGATCCTAAATCATTGTTAGTTGTTCTGTTGTAATTATATTATATGACTGTCCTAAAGTATTCAGAACGTGTCCATATTCTCTGTACTTAAATTCTATTGAATAAATATGGAGCAAGTTCAAGAAAAGAATAAGGGAACGGAATTTCTTCGAAAGCTGTACTAAAAACAGTTCTTATGGAAGAATAGAATAAAATAGAACATTCTTGCATGAAAAAATTAATTGAAACTTTGCCAAACACTTAGAAAGCTCTGTTTTCATTATAGGCTATGCAATAAAATATTGAATACCTCACCATTTTCATCTCTTTTTTTTTTTTTTTTTTAACATAAACTATTTGCTCAAAGTACCCAAATACAAAAATGTGAGTTAGTTTTCAAAACTTTTTAATTTTTGTTATTTACTTATTTTAATTAAAAATAGATTAAAACCTTTTTTAAAATAAGCAGGTTTTAAACAAGATGAATAATAGTATGGGGGGGGGAGAACTAAAGTCATTTTACTAATATATAGGAACTGGTATTAGCAAATAAAAACTGAAAAACACAAGTATCCTAAAACAAATGTGAGCAACTGTAAATGTTAATATTTTTTTGCAGTTAAACCTTTTTTTTTGGGGGGGGTATATTCTTATGTCGGTTTTTTAAACTTGTATGATATGAAGCCAGATAATGAAGTATACTCATTAACATAGATGAATAACTGTCTTATGGAAGGAGGAAATTTGGATAGCAATGATTGCATTGTAGCTCATGCACGAGAATTAACAGTTCAACATATGAGAAGAATTATTGGAATGGTAGAAACTTTGTCAGAGTATGTTATGGAAGTTGATCCTAGTATTGAATGTAGCCTACCAATAAACAGCATAGTAATACATTGCTACGAAGAGAAAAAGCCAAAGGAAATAATTCTGGAGGCATTAATATTACAATTTTTAGAGGGGGAAAAAACTAAGAAACATACATTTTTTAAAATTATTTGTAAGAGATATTTGAATTTATTGCATTTTATTTATCTGCAAAAAAAATTTTTTTGGAACCAATTATAAATTTTTTGTTCTTAGTTAGTTCAGTTTCAAATAGCTTAGGTTAAATTCGTAATCTATCAATTGAACTATGGAAGGTATTGCTGTATTTAATCTTTTGTTTTTGATGAGATAGTATTTATGATATATTTAATTAAGACTAAAATTTTGTAATGTGTGTATATGTACTGATAATATCTTGCAAGAATTTTATGCTTTAAGATTTGTAATTAGCACTATAATATTCTTGTATATTTATTTGTTTTTCTCCCCCTCTTATAGAGTGATTATTCGTATATTGTCTTATCCCCTAATGCATCTTCAGCGCAAAGTGATTGCAACTTCTCTAATGTTAGTCAAACATTAGTTCTGTCTGAGCCAAGTTATACATTCACAATGATTTTCAGGAATGATTCAAAAAATATATATGTGGAAAATATAACACTGGAGTATACTGTACCAGAAACAGGTAAGTTAATAGGATAAGTTTATCTTCTGTAATGTAATTCTCGAGTTGTATTGCAAAACAATACATTTATCCTCTATCTATATCTCTTATAAAAATTATCAATGTGGAATTTGCATCCATTTTTGGGAACTTAAATGTTGAATTCGTGGATTTCATCTCTCACAGAGAGGAGATGATTTCTAGCGTTACTCTTAATACTTGTTCGCATATACAGTCAAAAGTCTTTAATCCGTACGTCCATAATCTGGAATGATCTATAATCCGAACCTCAAAGCTACAAACTTTCTGCACATATGCGTTTACGTATGTGCATATGATATTTACGTCATATGCGCAAATCTGTTTATCAATTTCGTGCTGCTCTGCGGGGGAGGGGGGACCTTGCCGAGCAGTGAACTGGAAGTTGATCTGCCAGCACAATCCTTATCTTAAGGGCAGATGTTTTTATTTTATTCGGGTTATAATTCCTTACTAAATGTAGTATTTTTCTTATCTTATCTAATCATTATTTCCTATCTTGTTCATTTGCGGTTTTGCAGCTGAGGATGGTGGTTCGGTAAAACCATCAAAACTAGTCCTGTGAAAATTTTGTAAATATAACGCTGATTTTTGTTGTTTGACTTCTGAATTAGTATTTATTCGGTGTGTTATTGTGTCTTAATTAGTATTTCATCTTGATGTACTCCGTCTTTGATACGATTTAAATCAAATTCCTCGTCATTATAAATATCACGAATACACATCAGATAGTTTTCGGTTGCACTTTTCTAATTTCGACTATGTGTAATGTATGCTTTACGCATGCACACGTTGAAAGAAATGTTTAATAAAGTAAGCAAATAAATATTAACCTTTTTTTTTTTTTTTTTTTTTGTAAATTTTGATACCCTTTAGATCATAATTGCTCTTTATTTCATAAATTACGGTTTCATATTTTTAATTTTATAATTTCTGCGTACCATCTTACCAGATTTAAACTGATGATCTATAATCTGGAATCGCCGAAGTCCCGACGAGTCCGGATTAAAGACTTTGGACTGTATATGTTGTTGCAGACTGGAGCAATTTATTAATTTCTTTTCTATGACTTGTTGGATACTCACTTTCGCAGAAATTCAGAATTGGCTCAAAACTACACTGGTATGCAAAAATTAAGGACGAGACGGTTTTTTCAATATAACTTTGTGCAAAAGCTTTCCAAAGCAACACATTTAATACCGTAAGATCCCCAATACGTAAGGACATGAGTAATGTAAGCAACACTTACTAAAAGAGAAATCAGAGGGATAAAAAGAAGCTTTATTGAAAAAGCATGGAGCGCAATGCGACTGAAGGCCGAAACATCCCTGTGATGGGTGTCCAGCAAGAAACATCCGGTCTTTAATAGGGGATATGATCTCCCCTGACTGCTAGGCAGGTTTCACAGCATCTGCCCATGCTGAGAATGAGGGTGTCAATGAGTTGTTGAGGCATTGCTGCCCATTCGTCTTGCAGTGCCAATCGAAGCTCCGGAATCATTACTGGTGGTAAGGTACGAGCTGCCAAGCATCTGCCTTGAAAATCCCATACATGCTCGATGGGATTGAGATCCGGAGATCGTGCCGGCCAATCCATACGTTCAATATCCTCACTCTCTAAGAGCTGTTCGGCAGCTACTGTGCGATGACATGGTGCATTGTCGTCCATGAAAAGGAACTGCGGACCCATAGCGCCTCTAAAAAGACTTACATATGGAAGAAGAATCTCGTTACAGTAACGGGTCCCGTTGACTGAACCTGCGTCGAAGATGTGAAGGTCTGTACGACTACCAAGCATGATGCCTCCCCAAACGAGAACACCTCCACCTCCATACCTGTCCCTTTCAATGATGTTCGAGGGATGATTGCGGCTTCCCCGCTCTCTCCAGATGAGTATGCGATGAGAATCCCTACTCAGACTGAATCTGCTCTCATCTGTAAAGAGTACTTGTCCCCATTCATTGTCTCTCCAATTCCGGTGTTCCCGGCACCACAGAGAACGCCTTCTCCGATGGGCAGGCGTTAGAGGTACACACCGTACAGGGCGTCGTGCAAACAGACCACCACCGTGCAGTCTTCTGGCCACGGTAAAACGCGATATCGGTCGTCCAGTCGTGTGTCTAGCGATTTCTCCCGCTGTCTGCCTCCTGTTTCTTCTGGCCTGTAAGGCAATATACCGGTCATCTGCGGGTGTGGTTCCTCGTCAACGACCACTACTAAACCCCCGGATAGCTGTTCCTGTAGTTTGAAATTGTCTCCAAAGTCGTGAAACGATGCTGTGAGCAATTCCGAACTCTGCAGCCACACTTGTCACATTGTAGCCTTCCTCCAACTTCCCAATGATTCGACCTCGGGTAAAAGAATCCAGATGTCGTCTAACAGATTGATTATTCGCCATTTCTCGCTGAGGCAGCAACTCGGTGTGATTTTTAACTGCTATACGGCGTGCAATCTCTTTGCCAGAAATACTAATCTTACACCGACAACATTCTTTATACTACTCAGACACTCCCCCATTACGTCTACCTGCATATCTGCACATGTGCTACCGTACATCACCTTACTTAATCTCCTGATTGGTCTTTCTGTCTGCTCTGCCTCTTCATTCAGCTGATATGTTAATTTTTCGACTTCGTCCTTAATTTTTGTGCACCAGTATATGTTATTCAAACTCATTTTCAATGAACCATCTGATTGTAAATCGCAGAATTCTTCTTCTCTTAAAGTTAGGTTTTAAGGATGAACCAGAAGTGCAAGAAACTAGATTCCTCACCCAGTCGTGGTGTTCTATTGACGGGGGAAAATAATTAGTTTTCTTTGACAGTTTTTTTGATGGGATACAATTTGAATTTTGTGAATGTGAAATTTGTGGATGATAATTCAGTATGGTGAAGCAATATTTTCAAAATACGAGGCTAACTTTTTCAAATTTAAAGTTGAAACAATTTCCCATACTTATCTTTGTTTAACGAGGAAATCAAAATTTGGAATTTTACCATTTCCCCCATCAGATAAAGTATAAAAAAAAAAAAAAAAATTAATGAAGTTTGAATAAATTTAACATATTGGTGAATTTTTTAAAATTGTGTAAATATTTTAAGTAGCAGAATTTTTGGAAGTAAAACAGTGACTTTTCACTGTTATTGAAAGATTATTCTTCAGTTGAATAATTTGATTGATAACATGACATTGAGATTAAAAAGATGAAAATTTAAAAAAAAAAATTAATTAATCTCTACATATAATAAAAGAGTCTGTGTGTGTTTCTTCCGTGCTGCGATAAAGCTAATAGACCCAGGGTGACGGTATTTGGTACATATGTACGTCTAGACAAGAGCCAATGCACCTCACAGTGATTTTTTTTCAAAATTCGAATCAGTCTTTTTATTTTATCTTTTTTGATGAAATCGTATCATTTTGAACAGTTTCATTCTTTTAGAAATGTGATTTTGGCAAGTTTTTCATTCAATGCTTTGTATAATGGACTACTAACTGTTGAAAGTATGAGATAAAATGCTGTTAATTTTCTTTTGATTTTTGGACACGCACATCACGATCTTACTTTGATGCGCGTGTGTCTCTTAAGGCACAACAGAAAGAATTTACTTTTTTTCCCCTTTTCTCTCTTTATTAACTAATGGCAAAGAGGTTTGTATATTTTGAATTATGTAGTCCACAAAACACAATTTTGATTGGTTATTGCTTTCTGATGATAGTTTCATTCTTTTAGAAATGTGGTTTTGGCAACTGTTTTTCATTCATTGCTTTGGATACTGGACTGCTGTTTTCTCTTGAAAATATGAGATTTATTGCTTATTTCATTGTAATTTTTGTATTATGTTTTAATGATATATAATTTTAATTATATAAAAAGTTTTGCATGATTTTTTGTGTGAGATATTGCTTATTTCATTGTAATTTTATCTATAATACATTTTTATTGAAATTCATGTCCTCCCCCCGATGAAGTTGTTTTGCAGAGTAAACTGTGCAGTTTTTAAATTTATTGTTTGGTGTTCCCTTTAGGCATTTTCCCAATACATTTAAAAACCAGATGAAGGAATTTATCTTATAAAATAACTTAATTAATGTAATTATAGTAACTTATAAAGTAATGAACTAAAAGGGCAAAAACATTATCGCATGGTTTAATGAGAAGAAAAGGTTAATTCTCATAGCAAAATTCATCTGCAGTTTTATATCATGAATAATAAAAGCATGATTGCCTAAATAATGAAATTCAAATTACATTGTCAAAAGCATAAGCCACTGCATTTTATCTTTTAATTTTAATCTGTCTTTAATCTTTTCTATTTTATGTCCAGTTCATTTTAAATTTCAGTATTACAAAATCTATCACCTATAATGTTTTGAAATTTCATCTTGTAAAAAAACTTTTATCTTTAAAATAAAAATAAAAAAAAGTTTTTTTGCTACAAGTTATATGAGTATTTTTTTCAGGGGGTATTAGATGATTTTCTGCAATTTAAAGAAATAACCAGCTCTTTGCTCTAGTGAGTGCCAAAAATCAAAAATCTGTTTATAAGTTTATGTGTAGGATCTTATTTTTCACCTAATGCCAACCTGTATGTTAAAATGGTTATTTAATTAATTAGGCAGAGCTTGTGAAAGTTCATCTGCCTATAGGGAGAAATGGTTGTATGAGAGCTTGGAAAGGAAAAATGGCTTGTACTCACATTAAGTGTAGGAAAACTGCAAAAAATATGCATGTCTCTTATTTTTACAAAAGAATAATTAAAATGGGATAAGATGAACAACGAAAAAAGGAGCCTGTATATAAGAAATAATCAAAAGTAGTTGTAAATAGTCCCATTGATGATGTGTTTTAAATTTTGGAAAAAAAAAAAAAGTGTTGCTGGTATTAATTTATATATTAAAGATAAATTAAGGTAACATTAAGGTATCTTTGTCAAGTTATTGCATTCTCATATAAGGTAGTTATATGAGAATGCAATCTGATAGTTGCAGACCAGTTCACAAAACTCAAGTAGTACAGTATATTCCAGTAAGTTCTACTCATTTAGGCCCTATCTCACATCAGTCTGCAGGATTTTAAGGAGGTAAATATGTAAAAATATCAATTCTTTGAAAAACTTCTCTGGGGGAGATGTCTCTCATGTTCTTTGTCCTGTTTAATTAAAAAACTTCAATCAGATAATGTTTACATCTGAGCATGTCTTATTACTTAAAAGCAATTCTCTAATTACTTTTTTTTTTCCCTTTAGGTTTTGTATACAATGACTCAAAGTTATTTTCTGTAAAAGCGGGTAATTCCTATTTGTGCTCAAGTACTGAAGATGTGCCTCTTATGAATGTAACGATGGAGGTTTATCACATTCATATTCAAGCATTTGGAATACAAAAAAATGGTGAATTTAGTACAGGTATGTATTTAGGTAAAATTTTAAAGTTTGAAATAAAATGATATGATATCAGTTTGTAACAGTTTATCAGAATATTTTCACTAACATAGTTTCTTTGAGTAAATTCTGAAGTTAATATTTGACCCCTTTCTTTTGAATTGAATTGAGTGAAGTTTTTTAGGTATATAAAAAAATGTTGACGGCAAAATATTCCAAATAATTTTTTTAAAATTAAGTGTGCTTTTTTTTTGAGAAAGGGGGGTTAACAAATTAAGTTTGAATGTTTCTTACCTAATATCAAACTAATCATTATAGAACTGATTTTTATGCTATTTAATAAATCAAAAAATATCCTTTAGAATGATTTTTCAGATTTTCTAAAGTTGTTACTAATTTAGTGTTTTCAAAAATCATTCCTCTTTTTACTTCCTTGTACGAAGTAAAAAGCAAATATTGTAATCGTGAAAAGTTTCAGGCAGCATATTTCAACGAAAATATCCATTTTCACCGCTATCGAATGCAATTTAACAATGTTTTGCGTGACATCTGTACGTAAGGACAGAATAAGACTCTTTTCCTCCAAAAAAATTATAAAACTGCTTTAAAATGAATTCTGAAGAGAATTTTTCGTGGCGTCTGTATGTAGGTATGTATCTCGCATAACTCAAAAACGAGTAGCTTCAGAATGTTGAAATTTTGTATATAGGACTGCTATAACATGTAGATGTGCACCTCGTATTTTGGTTGCAATCGGCTGCACCAAACATATATAAATATATTTATATATATATATCCACTCTGTTACTTGGCTCGGTAATCTCAGTTTCTTTACTCGTATATGTTTGTAAATTGTACATTTTTTGCTTTAAAAATGATTGAATTATGTTGTTCTTATCTTCCTGTTAAGGTTTTTATGCCTTTAGTAAATCTGTATGCAATATATTTAGAATTATCAACAATTTTAAAGTTGTTTAAGTGCCGCTAAGCCTAATAATTTTATTTATGGCGGCCACTGCTTGTTTACATTTGAAACAGCAGGATAGTGGATTTGTTGCCAATCTAGAGAAACTTAGCTTTGCAACAACAAAAATAACGCCTTCATTTATTATTGCAAATTAAATCATGCTTAATCCTTTCTGGAATTTTTTTGAGGAAATAAGTGTTTAAGATTTACTTCGTAATTTTTAATACAGATATTTTGACTTTTTATGTATTTTTGCCTTGTTGTGAAGTGAAAACTGAATTAACTGAATGAGAAATACTGAATCGTCTGTGAAAAACTTTCTTTTTTCTTTTGTTTGCTTAATTTCTTTTATACATCATTCTAGATTTATTATAGTATTTGAAAGAACATGTAGGAATGATTAGATAATTCCTCAAATGGTATAAATTTTCTTCATTCTGAGTTATAATGTGAACGAAATATAATGCTGGTAAGTGAACATAGTGGCAGAGTGTCGCTACGGTAGACAAAAATAGTGAATTTTAGAGTGCATTTATTCTATTGTGGTTTGTGCGCTATCAACAAAGTAGATTTAATTCAATCCAATAAGTTTAAATGAAATGCAAGAAAAAATTCGTGTAATTTAATATTCCGTACAAGGAAGTCTACACATCAGATTTTTTTAAAGTTTTTTTGCAGCTGTTAACAATGGTGCATTTTTAAATTGGAAGGTTAAATTCATCATTCTTAGCAGCTTCATGATTTTGTGTCAAAATGAGGTCTGATTTCTGAAGCAAAGTGGGAAAAGCAATGACAGTATGATGTGTACATTGCTGTGTTGATTGGAAGGATAACTTTGCTGCTTTCTTATGTGAGGATTTGTTTTCTCTCTTTTACTTCTTTACATTCTGTAGTCTGAGAAATAGAGTAAAATGTAGAAAGAAACTTTTTGAGTTGCTCCATATAATTAAATGCAAAAAAATAATTTGGTACTGTCACATTATCTGCCCAGCCATGTTAAGAATCACTAGGCAAAAATGATATGTCACTGAAGTAGGGAGTGCATAATTTTATGACAGTGTATTTTATCTGGCAGCTCACTAAATGCATGCGATTTTGGAATTTGAGGAAAAGAACTTGTAGGAGTTCTTTATTAAGAGTCATGTTTGTGGTTTCTGCTTGTGATTAGAGTGTGGTTTTTCTTTTCCCCCCCCCTTCCCTTTTGGGTAATGAATAGTAATGCATCTAAAGAGTTTAAGCCAGAGATAAAACTAGTTCTTAAAAATGGTGCCATTCTTTCATGCATTTGAGCAATACCTGTACCAAAGAGATTTAAAAAAAAAATACTGGTTTTTGTGTTTTTAAATGCCCAAGGATATTTCCATTTACTTAGAGAGTGTTAGTTTCAGTTTAGTGTTGCCTGGTGCATTGCTGCTTGCCAGGATTAACTCTCTTCTTATATCTTTTATAATCTGAAATATTTCTTTTCTTCCCCTTTGTGTTTTCAAAGGTAACATTTGAAAATTCAGACCACACTTACACAGTTGTAAGTCTGATTCTCAGATCTCAAGTGTTCTCTTTGAATTATAGTTTGTAGGAGATTATTTTTTGGCACAAATTTTTTTATTGGTTTATGCTGTAATATTTCTTTCAAGTGTCATATTAGCAGTAAATCCAGGCTCTCCTTGAAATTCCTTATAGAATTTGAGGGCTTGTTTTTGCAAAATAAATTCTGAAACAAGTGTTTCTTTTTGTGCTTGTTGTTTAATACTTTTCATCAAAAGAGGCCAAAATCTGTTTGTCTCAAACATCTAAAATGCTCATATATATACATTTTTGTTGGAATAGGATTTCCATCCCCCGTACCAAATAGAGTGCTACAATGTTAATAATAACTTAAGTGAAGCGAATACTTCTCTCCTGGGAATCTTTGTGCCGTTTCTTTCAATGTGCAGTTTCTGTAGGGCAAGATTACAACTGCAATCATCAATAGCTAAACAAAGGAGAGGAAAGTCATTGTGGCTATCTGTCCATGTCTGAATGTTCAGGTCTTTCAGGTGACTTCGCTGTGAACGCGTTAAACCATATATAAAGTGCATTACTCCTTTTTTTCTTTATTGTCCAGTCTCCTTAAGGTATCCAGTTTCATTTCCATTGTCATGTTAATTTTTTTTTTTTTTTTTTTGTTATTAGACGTTTTTACTTGCACAGACAACTTGTAAACGTGGATGTAATCTAAGAAACTGTACCATACCTTCATGCAAGCCTGCTAGTGGCTAGAAACAGAAAGGAACATGAATGGGGATTCATAACAGCCACCTAACTTTCTTCAACCACTGTAATAATATTTTAATTAACTTTCTTCTGCATATAAAAATACAAATTAGATGTACTAGCCACACATTTCTAGAATTAGGTATACTGGCTCTGAAATTTGTCAGTAAATTACATTTGAGCTCGTGGCAGTTACGTGAACAGTTGTATCCCAATAGTCATAGATTTCGTTAGATTTCCAAAGTTCAAAACAAGGAAGAAAGTCATTTTGATGTTTCAAATGTATGCTGAGTGATAAGTAGCCATTAACCAAATGTGAAAAGCATCCTTTGAAGCTAACTGAGCACTATCTTCACACAGTGTGCATGCACTTTCCTAATGGATATAACTAAATGGAAGGGGAATGAAAATGGTCATCTTCAGAACTCCAGATACATTCCCAGGTTAGAGGTTGCTCCTCAGACTTGCGCTTTTCTTAACTGATCTTGTTGGGTGTAAAAATCTTGGTACTATCAGTGGTTAAGATATGACTTGTTACCCTCCCCTACATGTACAGATTTTTCACTTTAAATTTCTGAAACCTCTCCTTTTAACAAACTCTACAGTTCATTAGTAAAATTCTTTTTCAGTTATTCATCATTTTTTCATAAATTTTTATATATTGACTTTTAAGGATAAGAAAGTCATGCTACGAATGCTTCTACAATCAGGGTTCATACAGTCCTTAAATTTTTTGGAATCGATTTTTGGTCCTCAAAAGTCCTTAATTTTTTGGCCAAAATCAGCAGAAGGTCCTTAATTTTAATCATCTGAAATTTCTGTCTGTTTTTACAACTGCCATTTTGAGTGTGAATTAGCATTTTGGAGGAATATTTTTGGCGATTTACTGCCGTATATATGGTAAATCTTTTCAATGGGTTCATGAGTTATAATTTGTTTCTATTTCTAATATAAATGATGGGATACTTGAGTTTCTAAGCAAGAAGTGAAACATAAGCATTTCGAAATTCATTTTTTCTAATAAAGAGCTCTTAAACAACTTTTCGCTTTTGAGGATATGAATTCTTTTATTAAACGGTTCTAAATTTGGAGACTTTTCAACATTTTGGCGATTTTAAGATTGTTTCTATAGAAATTTTTAATTCAGAGATCTGAGAATTTTTCAAAGACTTTTTTTAAAACATCGTAACATTGATAAATTACAATAAAATAACTGTAATATATTGAAATCATATTTAAAAAGAACATTAAAATAAAAACTTTTTTTTTTTTTTTTTTTTTTTTTGGCTGTCATATTATAAAGTTTCATTCTGAATCTGAAAAATAAATGTAGTATAATGCTATAAAGCCTAATTTACGAAACAGCTTTTAGCAAAAGCAAAATTAGTTAAAAATGTCTTGTTTTTATTTTTTCATAGTAAGAGTTTTTCCCATGTAAAAATCTCAGATTATTCAATATTCTCAGAATGGGCATCAGTTTTCTCTATAAAATTAATTTTATACTTTTTCCCTCACCTTTTTTTTTTTTCCAAAATATTTCTGTCTTTTTGCTGTTACAGAAATGGTAGGGATAATTTTTCTTTAGGATATTAGACATTGCAGCTTGGAAAGTTTAGAAGGATTTGCAGGCAAGATTTATAGAATCACGATTCTAGAAGATTCGAGAAATATGTGACAAAATGAAAAATGTCTCCATAGTATCAACACGTAATGGATGTATTTTACAGAATGAATTTCTTAATTTTGGGAGAACATCTGGAAGAAAATGAAAATATAATATTTGAATGTATTACTTCTGATACTA